GAGGAGACGAAGGAAATTTGATGGGGTTTTTCTTTCGCTAGCTTGGGAAGGATAGGAGACGGCACTTGATCCACTGAGTCTCCTCCCTTATATTTCTATGTAAAAATTTACTTATTATCATGCCTTTCCTCCTCGAATAACTGTCATTGCAGCTTCACTGGCTGGCTTGAACCTTTCCGAAGACGACGTGGGTATCTCACTTGGAACCAGTGATACTGTTTTCTTTACCACTACTGAGTATAAACCATGTGTGGACGCACATTTCTTCAGTCACTTTCTGGGAAAAAGAGATGAATTCATGGCACTTGTCTGGTAAGGAAATTTCGATGGAAGTCTTCTTAATAGTAAAGGCAGTGTACACGATGATTGTAGGGCGGGCTGGTTTTGATGACTTCAATGGTGGGCCGGACTATCACACGTTGTGCTGAGGATGAAACCACCTCCAAAATCTCTTTAACAGAAAATCTCTTTAACAGAGAGGTTTAATGATGTCATCAGAACCGCTCCGCCTTCTAGCCATCGTGTTCAATGCCTGAAATTATCCGACATATGTTTCAGAAAATAAAACTGATTTTTCAGCATTCTATTAGGTCGGTCCATAATTTTTGAGAAATTTTACATGTATTGGTGTAAAATTTTTTGATAAGTATTGAAGCTTTCCAAGATGTCCTGCAACCTAGCACACAAGCTCGCCTATCCGACAGGCTAGCCACCTCGTTTGCTTGTTACTTTCTTTGACTAGACTTCCTGCCCTATCCGGCGCCATTGGAAAGGAATCTGAACAAAGTGAGCACTGTTTGTTAGAGAGCTTTTGGTGTTACAAGGTGAGTGTACTGAGACATTTCGATAAAGTCGTTAAGGCTTGAATATGTGGAATTCTCATGCTCTTTCGATAATGTCGTTAAGGCTTGAATATGTGGAATTCTCATGCTCTGAGCCCGAATCAGCTCTAACCCGATCTGACATCATCATGTTCCTGTTGGTTTCCCATAGTTCCTTCGAATGACCATCCATCATACTCATCGGTGATGTGGACTGGGTGCAGTGTGCTAACAAATCCACAAGCCGCAGTAGCTTAGCTTAAACGATTCGGGAGTTCTGACAGCAAAAACCCAACTCCCTCTGAATTCTAACTTCCTGAGTCGTTGGCGGAATACGAGAGGGCTTTGCGCTGGGAACCGGCACCAACTAATACCAGTGTCAGTGATGAAGATAATCGTCGACAGCTTGATGGCAACGCCTTCAACTTGAAAGCAAAGTAAGACAAAATCTATTTTTTTCTGAGGTCGTTCGAGTCCACCTTGCTAAGAAAATTCATAAAAAATTGGAGACTCTCGGGCGGTCAGTTCTTTTAGCTCCGCCTTGTAGCACTAACCTTGTGCCAACGAACGACTATCCGCTCTCCTCTCTCAATCACCTTCTGGAGAAGAAATCTCACTTGAATCACCATGAGTCAAAATCGACATCCAATTTTTCTTCGATCAGAACTATGAAATTCTACAAGAGAGACACTGAATACCCACCCTCGCATTGGTATATGTTGGTAATAATGGTGATGTATACTATGCTGAATAAATACATCAGAGAAATAAGATAAGTAATTAATCGAAAAACACCAAAGGTTCTCAAAAATTATGGACCGACCTAATAGATAGCATTTGTTGAAAACTGGTGAACCCCCATTGAAATCGTCATCTTACAAGAAAAGAATATCAGAACCCTTCAAAACGCATTCCCAACGGAAAACATCTGAGTTTTTATTCTTAGTCGCTCGCTTTCAGTTTCAAAAACGGATCGCTAAACGCGAGAACGAGTGCGTAAACGACTTGGTTATAGATGGGACGACTTTGGTACACTTCTCGAGCAAACTCCAGTCGGTAATGATGGAAATATAGGCAAGTTTTTCGGTATCATCTTTCCCTACTCCTTATGTTACTTCTCTCCCCCCCCCCCCCCCTCCCGGCGGCTCTCTACTCCCAGCAAGAAACGGTTCAATTCACAACATCTAGGTGGAAGGATTCGGCTGACGGACTAATCAGTAAAAAAAAGTGAGCAGCATAAAAAGGAGCAGGTTACCCAGAAAGTACTTGATCTGCTAAAAAAACCCTGACGATAAAACTGTATAATTTATTCATATCAAACCATTAATTTTATTTATAGTCAGTTTGGACCTTCTTCCCTTCGCCTATCCATTCACAATACACGGAACGGAGTTGACTATCGGTGGCACTTCACCAATAGAGTCTCGATTGTGTTGTGGAACCCCTCCTCTTCCTCGACGGCGCGACGAAACTTAGTCACCGCGCGGCGGAGTACTGTATCAGTGCTTGTCCACGCGTATGTCTAGGAGCGCGTATTTTACCACAATATATACACACCAGACTGGTCTCCCCTCCCGGACCAGGGTCTGTCCTATCGTTGTTACTTTTCGAAAAATTTTTTACGACCCCCCTCCCCCAACGTGGATTTGATACGACCCCCTTTTCCCTACCTCCACCATCTCCATCTTCCATCAAAACCCCGCCCACTTTTTCCTCCAAAAATGCCGTCGAGCGGGGGGGACGTAAGCAAACCAGCCCTTTTGGCACATCGGCTGGGACCGTATGCTGAATGTTGGGGAGGGGATGGGGTCCCCAACGGTCGACGGTTTACTTCAACTCGGTTGGTACGATAGGAGAGTACTGACGCAAGTGGTGCAGCTGGTCCAGTAGCTTCGCCAGAAGGGCTGGTTTGCTCACCCAGGACTAAGCCTTAGGAGAGGGGACGGACCCGTCCTCTCTTTAAGGCTTAGTTCTAAGGTAAGCACCAAATTGTGGCGGTTCTAAGGACCGAGTTGAAGTGGTCCGTCCACCGTCGGGGACTCCATCCCCTCCCCAACATTCAGCATACGGTCCCAGCCGATGCGCCAAAAGGGCTGGTTTGCTTACGTCGTGGGGGGGGGGAGGGGGTATGTAGTCACTCTGAAACGGTAAATATCTCCGAAAACCTCCTTCTATTTCCACGTCACCATTTCAACCCATTTATTTACCTATACTCCCACTACTTCCTTTTCTAGGGGGGGTATACGCCCGCTGAAACGGCAAATTTTTATTTTTTATCCTGCGCGCCCTCCACTCACCCCAGCCTACTACCCACGAAATCTTAGTTTCACCTCAATCCCACACGTGATTTCGAGCGACTAAAGTGGGTACGACCCCCCCTCCTCCTACAAACTCAACCAGGTACGACCCCCCCCCCGTTGTTACTCGTATTAACGTAGGGTTAACCCTGCCCCGGCAGCCACCTGGACCTCCCTTCACTGCGTAATCTTGACGCTTTCCACTGTGAAAAGATTTCCTCCACATCCTTTCCTTCCTCCTCTCCTCTCTTCACTGCTCTGCCGCCATTGTAGCAACATGTGAATAACCAAGAATGGGCTATACTTTTACTACTTTACTTATCCCTTAGCTTGCGTCTGGTGGTGGGGGCCGGCCTCTCAACCAGTACACTGCTGTGGGTGCCATTGGAGTACGAACGCCCTGAATGAAGTGTCTCCATTCTGGTCGATTAGCAGCAATACATCTAGCATGCTCAACACTGCACCTCAGAGCCCTAAGGTCTTCCTCAACTTGCTTCAACCAAGTCTTTTTTGGAGCCGTCCTCTGAACTTTCCACTGCGCAGGGCGTCTTCTCCACAGGAGCATATTAGGTATTCTGTCGTGACCCATCCTGCACAGGTGACCGAACCATCGTAGCCGTCGCAGTTTCAATTGTTCCTCGATTGTGGGTTGATCTTCAAACTTCTCCCTGATGGCGTTGTTCGTGACATGGTCACGAAGCCTGATCCCGAGCATATGGCGGAGACAACGCATTTGAAACACCTCGAGATGAGAGAGATCCGACTTGAGCAACGTCCATGTCTCAGACCCATATAGTAGCACAGGGAGCACCAGCGTCCGGAACATGCGAATTTTGGTTTTCAGTGATATGTTACTCTTCTTCCAGAGACACCACTTTAACGCTGCAAATGTCTTAGACGCATGACCAATCCTGCTGCGGACCTCAGCCTCGGCAACCACTTTCCTTTCTTGAACGACCGATCCAAGGTACTTGAAATTACTCACTTGCTCCAAGGCGACGCTACCCAGTCGCACGGACGCGGGCGATCCATCCGAGGTCATCACCTTGGTCTTTTCCGCGTTTATTTTGAGGCCATACGACTGGGCAATCTCTGACAGTGAGCACATGATGTTAGTCGCTTCCTCGTCAGTTTCGGCGAAAATTGCGCTGTCGTCGGCAAACATCAGGTCAGTGAGAAAGCCGCCTTCACCGTACTGCACGCCTTGCCTTCCGTTGAAAGTTTTCCTCATGACAGCGTCCATTACCACGTTGAACAACGTAGGGGAGATCACGTCACCCTGACGAACACCAGCACTTACAGGAAATTCTTCAGAGACGTCATCCTTGACGCGGATACAGCTGACAGTTCCATTGTACGCCTCCCGCAACAGCCTCACAATTTTGTCCGGAACATGTTCACACTCTAGGGCTTTCCATAGCGCTGGCCAGTGGACGCTATCGAATGCAGCTCTGAAATCTATGAAAACAACCACAACCCTTTTGCCGCAACGAATACGTTCTTCCAGTAGTTGCCTCAGCGCGAAGATCTGGTCACTGCACCCACGGCCAGGGCAAAAACCCGCTTGCTCCGGTCGGCATAAGCTTCTTCGATGAAGCTGAAGTCTTGCGTTGATGATCTTTGTGAAAACCTTCCCGACGACTGACAGGAGTGATATGCCGCGATAGTTCTTGCATTCCGTTATGTCGCCTTTCTTGTGTATTGGCACGATGATGGAGCGTTTCCACGTCGTAGGAACAACCTCCGTCTGCCAGACGCGACACATAAGACGGTGGAGCCGTTGTACCAATACTTCTCCTCCTGCCTTAATCGCTTCTGCTGTGACATTGTCTACACCAGCCGCTTTCCTGTTCTTCAGCGACATCACCGCCGCCCTCACTTCCTCCATACTTGGCGCCGCCTCGTGTGTTGGTTCCTGTGGCATCTCTATCGGTACTGGCTCTGGAAACGGTTCTGTGGGCAGTTCGTGGCTGTACAGCTCTATGAAGAACTCTCTCCATCTCTGTAAGCGTTCCCTCTCTGACTTCACGAGTTTGCCACTTGCGTCTTTGATGAAGGTTCCGCATGCTCTGGTTTTGCCGCACAGTCTTCTCAGAATTTGATACGGCATGCGATACTCGTGTTTGGATGCCGATTCTTCGAGCTCCTCCGCTACTGCGTTCCAGTAGGCCTCCCTTTCTGTTTTTAGTCTCTTTTTTTGATTTTTTAGTCTCTTGCGGATCAGATCACTACCTACTACGAGCAGTCGTGCAGCTCCGACTGACAAATGGGCTATACCCTCCCCTTCAAAAGCCAGAAAGTGTGAGGTGCAGACCAAACACCACAGCTAATGACGGCCTCCAAGTAAATCTGGTTAATACCTTGACGACAGCGCGGCAACTAGGTTTGCCGCGTTTTGCCTTTACATTCAGTTTTATCTTGAACGCGCCATTTCTTCCCAGGTTTTTTGTGTTCATTTTTTAGGCCATACCACAACATAACCAAGAACCACGCGGCTTATAGAATGACCAAATATTCTTTAGTTTGGCAGAGGTTTTTCGGACCGGACGAAAATATCCGTTCAGTTCATTCCTCATTTTCTCTTCATTAACACGAACATGTAGATGCAGTGGAAACATTTTGTCGCATCGAAGTATTGCGTATTTAAAGCTCAAAATCCACAGATTTGTTGTGAGGCGGCGGCGCTCGCAGAACCGCTCTGGTCCCACGCGGCCAAAAATGCCAAAACGCGCGATGTCGTCAACGTGTTAATGGTGATTCATAGTGATAGCTGATTTTTAGTAAATGATAGTTGTAATTAGTGTCAACTGATCGAATACAACTGTAACAGGTTAATCATTTCATTGGCAAAAAACATTTGCATTTTCTGGAGGCCGTCGTCACTTGTGGTGTATGGTCTGCACCCGCGACTTTCTGGCTTTTTGAAGGGGAGGGTAGGTGTTTATATAGTCACTGTTTTATTATTAGAACCATGCATTGCAACACAGTGATAGGGCAAGCCCTGCGTGCTACGCAGAGTTGTTAGCCGCCTGTTTACTCCATTGGCCGCCTTATCACTCACTTCATTTTGAAACTTCTGGTTGATATAATGAAGTGATATCCACATCAACCTTACTATGTCTACTTCAAGAAGAAGCTCCGTCATACTAGTTAGTAACGACCGTGTGCAGTGGCCTAGTAGAATAAATACAGTCCTGACTCTTCAATACAAAATAGCTCACAAGGCTGCAGGTTCCTCGACAAGGAGTTCCCTAGTATATAAGTGTTTTAGATTAGACTGCACAACAGTCAAAATCTGGAGATTTTAACTCGTCACGGAAATCGGAAATGGTTACGCCCTAGATAAAGCATGGTGCTACTCAAAAAATGAACAATGGCTTGACCTAGCCGTGGCGATATTGAGTGGCAAACTGCTTATTTACTTCTATTCGTGAAAAAAGTGAAAAGTAGGAAAAATCTGCAAGTCATAAATTAGCAAATAAATTCCAGCTCAAGTGGCAAGTAAGTTTTTACAGTTTCCAGAAAGAGTGATGATCGAGTATTTTTAGGTCTGTACTTCGATGAGGACGAAATTGCTCCAAGAGTCAAGAGAGGCGACTTTAGGTATCAAAAGGATGGCAATAGCTACTCTATGGTGGAAGAATTTGCACCAGAGGTAATGATCTATCGTTAAGAATGAAAATAAATGAAGGGCAACTCGGTCAGCGATGGTCAGTGCTTACTATGTAGGTTGCGCTACGTTTTCGGTTTCCAGTGAAAGACAGTAGAAGGGAAATTTCAGTAATAAGCCTGCACAGGGCTAAATATGATCTAGGTATGTAGCAACTCGAGGGACTAATGAATAGTGACAGTCCGAGTTCATTTGAAAGCATCTAACCGGTATACTGAATATTTAGCTATTTTGTCGCCTTCGCCTTGGCATAGTAGCACTAAACAAGAAAGAGTACTTTGAAGATTCATTAGTGTCGCAATAGAAAACGTGACCACAATAAGTGCTAACCTCGCGAGCGCTCCCAGAGCGGATAGTTTGACGACAAGGCATGCAGATGTGGGTGGAACTCCAGTTCGGGGGGGGGGCACTCCGTTGTGCTCTCCAATACTAAGGATAAGGCAAGAGTTTCTCATGACACGTAATCGATTCATTTAATATTACTTAAGATAAGGATCGGTGTTGTGTGAAAGTACTCCTAAAGCACTCTCAGATTTCTGCCTGCTTGGTCCAAGGAAATGGTCCTGAACTATGGATTGACATCCTTTCCTAGGCGGAAGGGTGTAGGAGCCCAGGGTGGACAATCGCATGCCATAAATTGCCTATGATGTGAGCAAAATGTGCGTGCTGCAGGGCGCACATCGATTCTTATCAAAAGTGCACTTGAAATGGGTCTTTACCTATTGTTTTATCCATAGGGTTAAAGTTCAGAAAAGAGTTCTCCAGTACTAAGAATAACAGGGAGTTGCCTCCCGAATTGGAGTTCCACCCAAATACCGTTTGTTCCTGCTGCATTTCGCTTGCTAGAAAACTGCACAGCAACTTGATCACAAGTACTCGGCGAAACGGTCGCGCCACGTAGCCCACGGCGTGTAGTGGAAGGGCAAACTGTACATGTCCAATGTTTTCATGTATGCCCCATGATGTCAGTGTTGGAGTTACTCTCTACATCAAGATTGTGACCCTAGAGACGGCAATCAGAGAATGTTTGCTAAGCACCCCGACAGACTTACATTATTTTCGATTACGTGATTTCTAACTCATAAACTCTAGACTGAAGCGCGGGCACTGCTCGAAGGTCAATCGCTATTGAAACTGATGTATGCCAAAACTATGGGATGCACTAATGGCAAAGGTGAATAGTTCTGGATCATTCCTGCCAATGTCTGCATATTTTAACGTTAATTCACGGTATCATCAATCCACTTCAGGTCGCCTATTCCTCACCGGCGGTGCGTCGGCCAATCCCGACCTGCAAAGAATTTTATCCGACGTGTTCGCCATGGACACCTACATTTTGAACGTCCCAGATTCAGCTGCCCTGGGCGGAGCCATGCTTGCCAGATATGGTAAGATTATTCGATTCATTACCACATTTTGTGAAGTGTTGTTGAAAACGTGAAGGTTTCCGAAGTAAAGTGGGAGGAGGAGCTCCCTGGAGTACGTCTACTACGATAAACTCGTCCATAGGCGCGAAGACGGCGTGTGTTTTTGTTCCACTTATTTGTTTGATTGCGCTGAACTAGTCGAGCTTATTATCTGTATAGCCTACCTATATCAAACATTGCCTGGATCTCACAACAGTAGTACCACAACCCGTACATTCGACTAGACTTCGTCAAGCTGATGTTACACACCATGTTGTTCCTCTCAGACCTTTCTCAAATCTCAATGAAGTTTCCGGCACCATGCCATAATAACAGAAAAGTATGAACGAGAACTCGTTGAGTTCGGAAGCCCACTGCGATCATACACGTCACAGCAGATGCGTCCACTGCCACCCCCGTTTCTACTATACTTACCGTCTACTTTCACACATCATCTTGATTTTTTGCAACATTCGTTGCTCTCCTTCTATACAGTGTCAATCCTCCTCTTTTGTCCAATTCTCTGATCTCTTACACATCCCTCGCCGGCACTCCCCCATTTAGCCCAATCTGAACCAACCCACATTGTCACTACAAAAAGAAACGCTTTTCTATCAGAGGATGCGATGTGCGCTTTTCTATCAGAGGAGAAAAGGTTAAAAAGCATTTGCCCGTTGATGCAATCCGTTGATCAATCCCTTTTTGGGATGCGGCACGCATTCTACTTCCATTTGTACATTCGTAGTGGCGTTTGAATGCGATGTGGCCTATACAATGACTTGCGGGGCCAGCCGATGTACAAGTCAGTGTTTTTATCCTCCCAGACAAGTCTGGTACCAATTAACCGACCCCGGAGGGATGGAAGGCTTGGTTGGCCCGGGCGACTCACGACCCAGGATTTGATCCCGGACCGCTCGCGTGGTAAGCGTGCCACTTGCCACTACACCACTTCCCGCCCCTTTCATTAGTCCTCATTATTTTTGCAGACCTACTTCTCGTTTTGTTCATCCTCATCCTGTTTTGTATATCATTCTGCAGTGTGAACGATGGTGTCAAATACATTGACGTGACATACGCTTCCAGTTGCACATTTTTATCTGGCCATGTTAAAAACGATTACTGTTACGAGCAAGAAAGACCTCTGTACTGTTTCAGCGTTCTACTCCCCATCGTCATCATATAGTGACTACTACTACAAGAGCACTTGCGTTGCCAAAGTTGCCGAGCCTAATCCGGAGAAACGGTTCGCAAATTTAAACGAAACGATGTTGGACGACTTTCTCTGCACTACTGTGACTGGATCTGCCGATCTATCCAGTCATGGACTAGTGTCGAATTAGCATAACAGGAACACGCTTCAACTAAACTGAACAAGTTTTTCGCCCATCGGGCTTTTAAACGAAATGGTGACACAAGGAATTTGTAGTAATTTTTATGAGTATTGCCAAGTAATGCTTAGAATCAAAATTTTCTTTGTTACTGTATCTGTTAATTTCTTAAATCAATATTAATGAACAAGATTGCCTGTTTAACTATCCTCTCTGCCTTAATAGTAAGTTAGTTAATAGTTCGAAAATGTATGCGCAACTGCTATTAATGTTGGTTTCTTGCATATATTTTGTTTTCGAATGCTCTTCTGTTGCCTTTCATTAAAAGGAGTGTTCTACGCACTGTCTCTCGTTGTTAAAAGTTATATTAAGTAATGATGTAAACATAAAGTGTTACAGTTATATCACATTAGTAATTTAGTATTTCCTGTAATCTCGACTTTGTTTAGCTTCGGAGTGGGGATTTCATTTTTTTCGCACGGCTTCTAATAATCCCGCAACGCAAAACGGAGCTGAAAGGCACTGAAGTGAGGGTAAGGGGAGTGTCAACAAAGCATAACCCTCTGCTTCGGAAAACTATTAGGTTGGAAAGAAAGTCCTGCAACACTTTTTCAAATTTTTGATTTTAATTTTATCTTTTTTGGTTACAACTTCTGACCGGTCTTATATCTACCATGAGTGTCCACCACTTGTCTCCATCGCTCAGAAAATTTCTTGATCCTCCTCCGCCAAAACCCAGCGGAGTGCGAGTCGAGAAAGGAGGCGACCTCACTTTCGAGTTGGAGTTGATCGTCTGATTATTTCGTTATAAAGATGATGATTAAAGGTCCAGGATAGGTAGCACTTATTTACAGCTCGACCAG